AGATTTTAAAAACGATCTCATCAAGCTTTCCAAAAAGAATAATTGGATCGTCAAGTAGGGGTGGTCGAACCATAGAATTTCCCTCACGAATTGAATCCATTATCACAAATCAAACAAGATCTCGTTCTAAAAGATTTTTTTAAAAAATAGAACGACCTGCTCTGATACCAATTGAAAAATCTAGAAATCTCCTAAATGTTGATTTGTGATTATGTATCAATTTTAAGCAGTATATAACAATCACAATCAAACAATCAAGACAAATCGATATATCTTTCATTGAAAGGTTTTCGAAACTAGATGTGAGCCTTTGAAGTTTTGAGCGTTTAACAGAAGGAGTGCCCTCATGAATAGTTTGTAAGATATCCCAAGCCTCTTTTGCGACTTCACAATTACAAATACGACTAAACCTTCAGGCATGACAACGCAAAAAAAGAGAATTGATAGCTTTACTATTCCAGCTACTATTTTGGTAATCAATTGTGTCCCACTTATCAATTGGTTTGGGGAAAGTTACTCCATCAACGGTAATTATTGGTTCAGTCCACCCATGTATAACAAATTGCCAAACTTTTTCATCAATAGATTTTAAAAACGATCTCATCCAAGCTTTCCAAAAAGAATAATTGGATCCGTCAAGTAGGGGTGGTCGAACTTTTCATCAATAGATTTTAAAAACGATCTCATCCAAGCTTTCCAAAAAGAATAATTGGATTCGTCAAGTAGGGGTGGTCGAACCATAGAATTTCCCTCACGAATTGAATCCATTATCACAAATCAAACAAGATCTCGTTCTAAAAGATTTTTTTTTAAAAAATAGAACGACCTGCTCTGATACCAATTGAAAAATCTAGAAATCTCCTAAATGTTGATTTGTGATTATGTATCAATTTTAAGCAGTATATAACAATCACAATCAAACAATCAAGACAAATCGATATAACGATTTTACGTGGAAAAATCACAATTGGGCACCTCCAATTGTGATAAAAAAATCACGGGCAACAGCTACAAAACAATCCACTAAGAAGATATAAAGGAATTACACAGGTATACTCTCAATTACTTAGCGAATCCACGCCCGAATTGAACCAACCCCTATGTGCCTCTTCCAACCCTGTCTTTACCTCGGAATTGTCTTGACGATGAGCCACTCCAGAATCCACCAAAGCTTCAAGCTCAAATTCACCGGAGAATAACTCTCTCTTTTGTGTAGAACAAACAAAACCTTTGATGTATTCTTTTTAAACCATGAGTTGAATACTCAATAAAACATCAAAGAAAAACTAACAAAATATCCTCAGATATAAACCTTAATATCCAAAAAGAAGATCTGGAGGAATAACTCTAGTTTTGGGAGAAAACCTAGTTTTGGAAGAAAACCAACTTCTTAAAGAACTCCAAAGTAATCCTAGTTTTGGAAGAAAACCAACTTCTTAGAGAAATCCAAAGTAATCCTAGTTTGACAAAAATTGGAAAACCTAGAAAACTAGATCTTGTTACAACATTGGTTTTGATCCATGGAATTTGACAACAAAGGTCCTAACAATTCTAATATGCCATACCAATTGATTACACAATTAATTGTGTTTGAAATTTTAAAAGTTATGATGTTTTGTTAATGTTGTTATGATTTTCGAGACAAAATTACAATCAGCGTGCTATGTTATGATTCATTAGTAAAAGTTATGATATTTTGTTAATGTCGTTATGATTGTGGAAAAAAAGTTGCAGTCATTGTGTTATGGTTATGATTCATTAGTAAAAGTTATGATTTGTACTACCAAAAGTTATGACTTGTTATGGTGAATCATAATAAAAAATGTTACGACTCAAATATTACGATAATTTGTTGGAAATAACTACATTTGTTATGAGTCCTTGTCATATTGTTATGATTGATAATGTCTTTATTATGACACCATAGTGTATATTATGGCATTGTTATGATTCATTGTAGTAATTGTTATGATTTTTAAAAACAGTTATGATTATTTCATGTAACCTATTAAATGACCTGTTTAACAGGTTACTTTTTATGACGTGGCACAATATGGACCACACAATAAGTGCATATCATATGCCATTTTAGAATGTGCACATTGTAGAAGTTGCTAAAGTTATGATTTTTTATGTCACTTTTTCATTAAGTGTGATTATATATATATTTTTGTAATCACACCTTCTAATTAAATGTGATTATATATATTTTTTATGTCACTTTTTAATGAAGTGTCATTATATATATATATATATAGATATTTTGGAATCACAACATGACTCTTCCTTTCCAATTCTCTTTGCCTCTCTTTTTGATTCATTAGCCTTAATTCAATTTTCTTAGTCTGCCATATCTGAAACCACTTTCTCTTTGGTCTCTGGAATGGCCTCGCTCTCTCTCTCTCTTACTCAAAAATACTCTCTCGCTTGCTTTTTGGTACGCCTATAAAGCATGGATACTTCAAAAAGAGAGACGTATTCGTATCGGATATTTATTGGATACCGATACTCCTTAGATACTTGCGGATACGTATCAGATACTTTTTTAATGTATCGGATACTTCTTAATTAATTTTGAAGTATCAGATACTTAATTTTAAAGTATCGGATACTCGAAGTTACATATTACTTATAATATTTTGTTTAGTTCTTTGATAAGAGGAATATAGTGAGAGTTAAGGTAATATAATTTGTCAAATTGATTTATCCTTATTGTCTCTCTCTCTTCTCTCTCGCTTTCTCACTCTCTCACGTTTCTTCTCTCTGCTCTCATTTTTTTTTTTGGTGTTAGCATGTAAGGATGATGTTTAATTTGCATTTACTTTTGCTTTTAGTTTAGATGTTTTATGAATGTTTGAAGACTTTTAGATTAATAGAAATCCCTCTCTTTATTTATTAATTTACTTTAAATTTTATTTTCATACATATTATATTATTAAAATTATAAAAATATCTTTTTTATGAATGTATCCTGCCGTACCTATATCAATTTTTTTCTTTTAAATTTTGACGTAACGTCGTATCTATATTCCTCTATCACTAAATCTGTATCCCTATCCGTGCTTTCTAGTCACATGCACACGCGAGTGCATTGGAAACAATGATGACAGACAGCAACAATCTAGGGAGGGGAAAATGCAAGAAAAGAGGATGCAGAGAGAACTATATAGGGTTTTATCCCTTTATTTATTTATTTATTTTTGGGTCTCTACCTCTTTCTCCGTCCTCCATGGCTTTGACGGTGGATTACATATCATCGACAAGAATTGCCTGGACGACTGATTCATGACACCCAAAGGCTAACGGACCACTATCATTGAGTCGAAGAGACCATCTTTCACATGAAACATCTCTACAAGCTTACCCCATTTCTGTCTCGTCAGACCATTGGATCAGTACCATCACGCCATTTCCATACAGGTAACGAAACTTCCATTTCACTCTCTATTTTCTGAAATGGGTTTCTATGAGTGAAATAGTTTCGAACTGATTTGATTTCAGTTATGAAATGGTGTGATTTCTTTGAAATGGGTTTCCTAGATAGTTTCTATTTCTATTTTCTGAATCTGAAATGGGTTTATCAAATGGTTTCAATCTTTGATTTCGGATATTAGTCATTAGCACTCTGTCAAATTGTATTGGACATGAGAACTCTATTTTGTGGACTTTGGTCCTCATGCTTTGTGAATACTTGTAATTTAAGTGCTCTCATGCCTAATATTCTTCACTTAATGAATGTTAGGCATGATCATGCTTCTTCACAAAAAGCATTCCTAATGATTTCTGTGAAATAGTTGTGAAATGGGTCTCTTTCTATGAAATGAGTTTTATGGTTTTCTCTTTAATGGGTTTCAGGGGCTTCTAATACATTAAAAGGCAAGAAATAAGGGAAAGCAAACAAAAATGAGGTTGCTTCTGTTTCTAACTTTAACTATCAACTAAAGTTAATAGGGGTTTCTCTAATTAACTTTAGTTCATAAATTTTATTATTTAAGTAGTGGTTAATTTTTCCATTGTGATTCTGTGGGTGGTTTTCATTCCATTGTGATTCATGGTTCATTATCTTATTAATAAATGTGATTCATGTTTCTAATTTTTTTATGATTCATGTTTCTTATGTTTATAATTTTCTTATGATTTTGTGAGTGAAAGGGTGATTATTTGATTCATGGTGTTGGAAGGAATACTTTTATTTTGTTCAGGTAAGAAATGTTCTCCCTTAATTTCTTAAGCTTCTTCTGATCTATTTCTTCTCTATAGATTTTATTTATTTTTGGGTGTATTATATGGTATTTGGGTATATTTTTTTAATCTCTTTAAAACTATGCTATGTTTTCTCTTATGTTGGTGTAAATAGGTGATGCTATTGATGTTGTAAGGACTATTTTTTATTTTAGGTAAGAAACATCTTCTATTCATTTCTCATGCTTATTCTTATTTTTATTGGTTTACACATTTTAAATGTTAAATAACTGTAAATCCTTCATTCACGTTTGTTTCCTGTGGTTTTTAATATTAGTGTTGGAATTTTTGCTCTATCCCAAATTCCTTTTTATTTATATTAAAAATTGTTTTAGTTTAGTTTGGATTTTGTAAGCAGTATGTTAAATTGGTGGTGTTTGGTTGGGTAGTGTTGGAACTCGTTATTTTTATGACAAAATTTATAGAGAAGAAAAAAATGGGTTGAAGTCCTCTATGCTACAATATCTACAGCAACGGGTAATCTTTTCATGGGTAGTTCAAAGAGAATGAATATTGATGATTGCATTAGCTCATCATTTAGTTTGTTTATTTATTTTAAGAGAAGTTAAGAGTTTTGTTGGTATTATGGTGGTCAGAGTTATTGAATAACAACAATGAACTCTTCTTTCTTTGAAGGTAACTCTCTACTCATTATTCAACATTTTGGGTTTGTGGTATTTAAAAAAAAAAAAATCACAATTCAAAAGTTTGATATATCCTCTCTTTCTACACTGGATATATCAGAAGTTACTAGAAAATAGCAGATGAAAGCCAATCAACCAAGAAGGAATGAGGAAGGAAACAAAAGTTTTGTTGAAGGTTTGAAAAATAGATCTAGGAAATGGAATGATTCAAAAGAGTTGTTTGTTAGGCCATCACGATTCTACATTCTCAATTGCAGTTTTTATTTTTTTGCAAACTTCACATGTATATGTATATTTGCACACATCTCTATTAGTCTTTTCCAGATGTCTTCATGTCAACTTTTTTTTTTTTTTTGCTTATTCCGAATTAATCAACGTCCAACATGTAATTTTCTAAATGGCAATTCGGATATCCCTTTTAATCATTGCAATATTTTAGTAGATAATTTTATGTTTAAAGGTGCATTTTATTTGCCAATATTTAATTTTATTGTTATCTTATATAGATACATATATGTTTGTGTGTGTTTGCATCTAACTATGTATCCAAATATGATTCTTTTCTTTGTTTTGACGACTTACATGATTATAGCAGGTTACTCCACTCAAGAAAAACTTCCAAAAGTGAGGTAGTGGGATTTAGACTGAAATAACTATATAAAAAGTATGTAGTTTGAATTTCAACTTTTATTTCACTTTTTTCTGTTGATTGATTTGGATTTGAATACTAGATACAAATGGTCAAAATCGTATAGTCAAAGATTTTAGAAAACAATTTTTTTTTATTTAATATGTTCACAATTTCTATATTAAACTTCTTTACAAAGATCAAAGTTTTGATTAATATGTCAATGTTTAGGACACCCAGAAGGAGAAGGAGAAGAAGAAGAATTCGGTGTTAGACCAGAGTTTTTACATTGAGAGTGAAGAAAAAGTTGAGTAGAATGAATTTAACAAAGGCCAAGATGATGGGAATGATTAAGATTCTTCCAATTATTCAAATGAAAACCAGCAGTAGAGCAAAACCAATTCTCTCAACACGACATGGCGTCAAAGTTACAGGTTGCTCTCTGCCTTTTCTCTTTTTTTCTTTGTTGAGTTTCATGTATGTGTAAGTTAGTGATACATATTTTCAATCTTTGTTTCCTGTGTTTCTTTAATTAATGTGATTTGAAAGATTTGTTTCTTCAGAGAAAAAAAAAATGTAAATGATGCAATATTTTTGTCTCGCATACTCTTTAAGCTCTTGCAATGCTATAGACCTGAAGAAAGTGAAAAAATAAAAATAAAAATTGTAATGATTGGGACAATATCTAAATCCACATTTGATCATAGGGAAAATGAAATAGTGGATGAATTTGATTTTGACATGACTATAAATTCTTAGATAATGTTAAATGTGCCTCGGAGTTTTTCTACTCTGATATGATTTTCTTTTCATTTTTATTGTTCTGTATTCTTGTCTAATGGTCAGGTCTTGATAGGAATAAAATAGTCATGAAATTTAAAATTTGTAGGTTCATCTATATTTAGACAACAACGATTATGGGCATGCACATATCCTTTTAAGAAAAGGCAGCCCAAGAGTTTTTTATGTTGATACCCGTACTCAAAAATAAAAGAAAATACATAAAGAAGGTGAATATTATTTCCTAACTGAAATTAACAAAGTCTAGGCATTCTTAGTATATATTACGACAACGTCACAAATCATTCATGAACCTGATATTTTAATACTTTACTCTTATTACTTTAAGTGCACATTTCTTCTGCATTATCATTCTTGAATTTTCTTTTCTTTTACGCTATTAATACTTTACTCTTGTTACTCAATTTTTACATTTTTCTTTTTCAATTAAGATGTTAAATAAAAATACTGCTGCTTCTTTTTTGCTTGTCCTTGTAGAACATCCCTCCCAAGTTTCATTCAATGATGTGAAATCCAAGTCAACAGGTTGTGTGTTTGGAAAGTGGTTCTCGAATTTGGGAGCTAGTATTTCAGGACTAGCAATTTATCTTTCTGCTCTTGAGCATGAGCTAGCAGCCAGAAAATTTGTAGTCTTTGGTCTTTGGGTATCGTCTATGTCCATGAGTTTCTATCTATGTTGTTTAAAAAATTCATTTTTTTTCTCTTTTTCTTTTTCCACTTGTGTTGACTTTTACCATGTTAAATTTGCTATTTTGGTATCTTCTATTTCCATGGATTCGTATTTCTTTGCTTTTAAGCTTTTGTTTGCATGAAGCATTTTTAACAAGAAATGGTCCATACTATACTATTGGCTTTCCTATAAGTGAACATTTTACACACACAATTTTCTGAAACTTGTAGAACTTTAACAGTTCAAATTTTTTTTTTTTTTAATCATGGGCAAGGCTAATCGTGCGAAGCACGACGCCTACACCATATGTGTGGGTGTGTAAGGTTGTGGGTCTAGTGATGTGAGTTACCATATTTTTGTGCCAAGTGTTTATATGCAGGTACTTAAATATGCTGGTACTTTTGTTAAGTAAGTCCATTGTTGTGGGTCAAGTGTTGAGAGCTCTAAATTTTTGGAGTGCTATTTTCTTTTCATTCCCTTACCTGCTTTTGTTGCCGAGTGTGTGCATGAACTTTTTTTCTTTTCCTCAGCTATTATTTTCTATATACCATGGGTTTCGTCTTGGCTCTTGAAGATGCTTATTTTTAATGCAATATCTTACCTTTCTATTTCTTGTGTAGTGGTGTAAGGCCTTTTGGTGTTTTAAGCTTGCTTACAGTCATCCAATGGTATCACTAATGCTGTGTTTGGTTGGAGGATTTAGGGAGGGATTTGGAAAGGAAAAGGAAAAAGGTGTGTGAAACTATGTGAAATATAGGCATGATTTATTCACATTTCACCTACCTTTTCCATTTCTGTTTCCAAATCCCTTTCCAAATCTCCCAACCAAACACAGCATAAAGGAACGAGCGGTTTTGAAAACACGAAAACCCATCCTCGTCACTACTGTTTTCGTAGAATTCTGATTTCTTCCTTTTTGTTTATATCAATCCCCATGAATGAAGTAATAAAACAAGCAAATAGACCAACAACCCCTTTCTTTCAGGGGATCGTAGAACATCTTTTCTAAAAGAGAAAGAAAAATACGAAAGTAAAAAAGTAAAAATCCTAAAGCTATGGTATGAAACCCAGTCAACCTACCTGACGACGCTTTGAGGCGCCCTGGGAAGGAACTCCCTCATCATCACTATCATCGTCGCTGCCAAGGTTGCAATCAGCATGCAAATCACTTGCTCCAGCAGCATTGGATGCAGATACACCTCCTGCCACGGTCTACCTTATTAATTTTTCGTAGAATTCTGATTTCTACCTTTTTGTTCATATCAATCCCCATGAATGAAGTAATAAAACAAGCAAATAGACCAACAACCCCTTTCTTTCAGGGGATCGTAGAACATCTTTTCTAAAAGAATAAGAAAAATACGAAAGTAAAAAAGTAAAAATCCTAAAGCTATGGTATGAAACCCAGTCAACCTACCCGACGACGCTTTGAGGCGCCCTGGGAAGGAACTCCCTCATCATCACTATCATCGTCGCTGCCAAGGTTGCAATCAGCATGCAAATCACTCGCTCCAGCAGCATTGGATGCAGATACACCTCCTGCCACGGTCTACCTTATTAATATCTTAATATTAATTTATATTGAGTTTTCTATGTAACATAAAATTCTTTATTACAAAACATTTATATTTATTTTAAAACATAATTAAAGACCCGATGTACCATTTTAGACAAAACAAAAAATATAAGAAATTAGCACAGACTTTTTTGATTAATAACCAAAATAATACACCATGAGTTATAATCAAGTCATAATTTGTATATTATAGAATTTTCATTTTTTTTTTATTTCAAAAAAAAATATTTTGACACAAGTGAAATTCATGATTTTTGATAAATTTGATTAATATAAATAAGGATTTGATTTCAGATTAAGAATATACTCTTTTTTTTATATATAACTTTAAAAAAATTGCTTTTCTAACACAGTGTCAAAAAATTTCATCAGCAATTAAAAAGTTTCTTTGTATTTAGCTTTCAATTGTTAAAATTTTCTACACATGAAGTATTAAGACTCAAAATCAAATTTTTATTTAAAAAATAATTTCTAATGCATCGCACAGGTCACCTCCTAGTTTTATATATAATATAGATAGATAGATAAATAGACACTTGCTGCCTCAGGAATGGGAGGATCGCTAACACCTCCAGCATAAGGATCCATATCTGATGAAATATCAAATAGTAGCGTGAAAAGAGAAATTCAAACCATATGCAAGATAAAAAAAAAATACGTAATAATAATTACAAAAAAATAAGACTAACTAATAGTAATTATATAATTTCTAACATTAAATCATGTATTAAGGATATTTTCTCAACAATATAAATGATAAACAATACATCTTTTAGACAATTACAGAATATATTAAAATTTTAAAATTTATTTTGTTATAAGGATCTCTAAGGGTCTCTTTTTTTCTTCTTTTTTTTTTGTGTGGATAATTTCTCCTTTGGTTTTTATTGGATGGGAAACCATAGAAATTGTGTAGAAATAAATACTTCCCACCATGCTAGCCATCTCACTTACGTACAGGTATACATAAGATATTTATACATTTGATATTCTTAAAATCATTTGAAATACCAAACAACCAAGCAAAATAATATAGTTCATTTACATTATATATGGAAAAGACTATGGTATACACCCTCTCAAAAAGTGTATATCATATCCACCTTATAACTATACAAAAAAAAACGACATAATTTCATATTTTCTGAGTCATAACTAAAAATAAAATAAAATAAAATAAAAATCATAACCAAACATTATATGAGGCATAACCAAAGATCTCAAAATAATATCATAACTAAAGAAAAAAATTACGTACTTAAAGATGCATATGGTATGTAAATGAGTATTATAGATTTCACCATTATATATAGACATTCTCAATGCACTCTCATTCTTACATGTTTTTAAAATTAATGTCGACCTTATTTAGAATTGACAAATGCTTTATATCATCAGATAGTTCAGTAAAACTCTTAACTTCTTATGTAAAAATTTATATAGCATGATAAGTCTTACTATTCATTTAAATATGGTGTGTCATACAAATGCAAAATCTATATTATATCTATGCACCTAATTAGTGAAAAAAGTGATCAAATAAAATTGATAATAAATATGATTTCTCTGTAGAACCAACTGCTAATAAAGACTTGTTTGGTATCATTTTCAAAAGTTGTATCTAGTTCTTGGGAATATAAAAATAAAAAATGGAAACTAAATGTAAATTATTTGACAAACTATTTTGAGAAATTTTTTGGACAAAATTTAAAAGTAAAAACTGAATATATAATTAAGTGTTATCTTTAAAAAATGCAATTTTTAAAGGAAAAAAATATTGTTTTAGAAACGAATTATGTTTGGTGATCTAGGCTTGGGCTTCCTCAAAACAACAAAACTAGTGAGTGCTGCCATGGCTTTGAAAACCGTACGTTACTGACTAGTTGAACTAGTTGGCCCGTCAACTGGTCCTTGGTCTGATTCAGATCTCAGTCAAAACCGTTTTATATAAAGAATCTGAGTATTTTGTGAAATTCACTTCAATTCGTGATTAAACTACTGAACCGGTTGACTTGGTCCGGTTATGTTGTAGCCTTCCTTGTATTAGAAATTATATACTAAATGGATTTGTTGTTCAATTCGCGGTCAAATCGCCAAACCTATTCACTCGGTCCAGCTATGTTTAGGGCTGCAAATAAACTGAGATGTTCATGAATAAGGTTGGCACAGCTCGTTAAGCGCTCAGCTAGGCTCATTTTGTAAACGAGCCAAGCTCGAGCTACAATATTAGGCTGGTTTAGTAAACAAGCCAAGCTCAAGCTCGAATAAGTTCGAATCGTTTATCTTTTTTTAAAATATATAATAAATATATTATTTATATATTAAATAATATTAAAAAAATCTTATCGAGCCAAGGCAAGTCCTTGAAACAAAGTCCTTGAATCATATAATGTTAGGGTGCCCATTTGTGTGGCAAATTTGGTCATGCTTAGTAGATTGGTGGGGATTGAGTTGGGTTATACCTGGGTCTGTGGAAAGTTTGTTTCAATGGTCGAAGGGATGGAAATGCAAAAAGAAAGTGAGGCAAATTTGGAAAGCCTTACCTGTGGCAGTGGTGTGGTCTGTGTGGAAGTATAGGAATGATTGCATTTTCAATGGTACTCAACTTCATATTGAGGCTTTTAGTGAGATTATCAAAGTAAGGATGTCTACATGGATGAAGGCTCATGATATACGCGGTTCTTACACTATCAATGATATAGTACAGAGCCTCCAACAGGTGATCAAATGTATCAATTAGGCTAAGACCAGAGAAAAGAGGACTTTCTGAGGAGAAGCTGCTGGGCTGTTTTTTATTTTGTTCTTGTTTTCCTAGGTTTTATGGGTGTATGTTGTGTTTACAAAATCTATATTATATCAATACACCTAATTGGTGAGACAAAGTGATGAAAGATAGTAAAACAAAATTACCCTTATACCTAATTATTGCTAAAAGGAATATGTTTAATTAGTAAAAAAAAATATATTTTGTTTATATCCATACCTTGGTAACCAATAACAGGCTGCACTGGGACAGGACCAACAAGGTCTTGAAAAATTGCAGCCCGGTCAACCTGTGCCCCAATTACCCAAATATTGTCGGGGATATCCCCTGGAATGACCCAAGGTCCCATTTCTTGCTCATTGTTATCAGGCGCAGGCTGTTCAGGAGCATTGGCAAGAGGTGCTGCAATAAACAATAAGGACCTCAAAATAATGTCATAACTAAAGAAAAAAATTTGCGTAATTAAAGGTTACATATGGTATGTAAATGAGTATTATAGATTTCTCCATTATATATAGACATTCTCAATGCACTCTCAATCTTAAGTGTTTTCCAAATTAACGTTGACCGTATTTAGAATTGACAAATGCTTTATATCATCAGACAGTTCAATAAAACTCTTAACTTCCTATGCAAAAATTTATATAGCATGATAAGTCTTACTATTCATTAAATATGTTGTGTCATACAATTACAAAATCTATATTATATCTATGCACCTAATTGGTGAAAAAAGTGATCAAATAAAATTGATAATAAATAGGGTTTCTCTGTAGAACCAACTGCTAATAAAGACTTGTTCAGTATCATTTT